CTGCCTGTGGCCCTGATCACTCAGAGGTAAAAGCAGGGCCTAGAATCAGCTGGTTCTACAGGCAGACTTGTGCCGGGACTGCATTTCCTGTGTTATTCTCCACCTCCTCAAGAGGAAGTCTCACAGATGTACGTGTGCACAGCCTTAAGCCCTAGACCTCCCCATGTACATGCAACCAGAACACAAGGCCACGTCGTTTACAGCTCTTGTGTCATAAATGGACAGACAACACAGTGCAGGCTGGCATAGGAAAAATGTGCTGGGGACATGGAGGGGGACCTCGGCTTAGGCCAAGTTCCACTAAGAACCCGTGCATTGGGGCCAAGTGCCTTAAAGATGCACCATCTTTGCTTCCATATTTGCAAAGAGGACTTACTAGATGTGCTCTAGAGGCCTTGCCCACCCTGACATGTCTATGATCCTCCATGATCCACATCGTGAAACAGAGACTGCAGGGTTGTAGAAACTGGAAGCCAGGTGAGTGTTGTGTTGACCATGAACTTGATCTGACTCAGATGTGATAATTTCCCTGACACAGTGTCATGGAAAGAAAGAAAATGCCAAGTGTAGACAGAAAAGAAGTTCAAAAGAGAAAGGTTACAGAATGACTTCTCTCAGCCTCCTCTTATTAATTCTCAGAAGTCCACAACTGGGCCTGACAAAGCACCTACCACCAACACCATCCATTTGAGACCGTTCCCAGAAGATGTTGACTTCAAAAAGAAGCCTCTCAAGAGAACGCTGGAGGGAATGTGAAATCAATACAGCTTTTCTGGAAAGTGACTGGACAGTATGTATCACAAATCTTTAAAAATGCAGTCCATTTAGTTCAATAATTCCACTTCTGGGAACCTGCCACTCTTGAGATATCAGCTGTGTATTAAATATTACCGGACAAAAATATTCCCATTGGGAATTTCTGGGGACTGGCTGCAAAACAATGTAAACGTACTTAACACTATTGAACTGTACACTTAAAAAGGGTTAAGATGGTCCATTTTAGGTGCATTGTACCACAATTAAAAACTCATGAGCATTTAACAGCAAAACGAAACATCTTGGCTCATGCTACATTTTTTCTTAAATCCCAAAAAATAACAGAAATATCCCCAAACTGGAAGTTAGTTAAAAATCAATTATGAAATATGAAAACAATGGACATTAAATATTAAGTTCTTCAAGCAAACTGGAAATTGCTCACAATATGAAAAAGGCAGAGCATGTGTGATTTTAGGTTTAGATGTAGATTTTTAAAAAAAGGCTAGACAATCATAACGCTAAAAGTAGTTCTGTTTCTATGATGGGATTTCCAAATTTTCTAAAAGAAACACTCTCGGGGGAGGGGTTGGGAAAGCCCTGGCAGACATTAACTCATGGTCCAAGAATCAAAGTCTTCCACTTTACAGACTGTCAGCTTTGAGGTTTTTCCCTTGAAGAAACAGACAGCCAGAGGGGTTTTCAAAACTGCTACATCAGCTCTGTCAAGGTGACAGAACTGGAACTGGAAGCAGCAAAGGTGCAGATAGCCAGCATGACCCTGTGTCCCCATACAGGCGAGGACGAGGAAAGCAGTATTGCCCATTTGTTACCATCTGCTGTCCTTACGCCATCATAATATTTTAAAAAGTGGCTTCTCATTCAGGCCCTACCTTGTGATTGTTTCATAATGAACCCAAAGTGATCTGGGAAATGTAATCCAAATATAAAGTAACTAATGATATTACTAATAAATCAACCACAGGAAATGGGCTTTGCTCTCCTCTGGAAGACAAAAGGATACATTACAAATATTAATGAATTCTTAATCCAAAAAGGCTTGCAATAGCCACAGAAATACTTTAATGGATATTGGTCCTTGTTTTCATTACCAGAAGATGTATTTTCCATTTAGAAAAAAACCAAAAATTTGAAATGCTCAGAAAATGGCATCTTCTGACTAGCAGTGAAAAAAATATAAACAAATGGAGCAAGGTAGCAGGAGAGTAAATAAAAATAATAACTAGCAATATAAGTGGAATGTAAGAAAATCACATAAAATGCGGGGTTACATTATTGGAAGGTTAATGAAATTGTCTGTAGCTCAGGGTTCCCATAGCCCAGGAGCTAATGATCAATTGTTACCAGTATACAAACTTTCATTACTACAGGCTGTGTGAGTGCCTATTACAGGAGTTTATAGTGTTTGACCTTTGCTAGAATAACAGTTTCAGTCCTTGACAGTTTCTTGATTAGCATCAATTAGTAAAGAGTTTCTATCCAAACAAGTAAAACAGGTTTGGATTTTTTTTTTCAAGCACCTTCTTCAACAATAGAGAAAGGGGTCTTGTCTTAAAAATGAGAACAGAAGTCATCAAGGTAATTTCAGAGCTGAGTCTGAAAGATAAGATCCCACTGGGGTGGGAGGAGCAAAGAGGAAGGGCTCTACACCTCTGGGCGCTGCTCACACAGCTGCTCACACAGCACCCTGTATTGACTGTATCGTCAGCAACAACAGCGCTAGCTTTTTAAGCTGGTGACTGTTTTTTAAATCCAGTATACACTTACAACCATATGTCAGCTATCTTTACAGGCAGGTAGAAAGAACCTCAGGGCTCTGGATTGTTTTGCAACAATATGGCTGAACGAGAAATCTGTGTGTGTAAAAATGCTGCTTATGGTCTGAGGTAGTCTGAGTCAACGCCATTTTTAAGCAAGCACCTCTGCCCTGAACCTTCCTTTTTGAATTAAAATTACGAAGGCAATGAAGCCAAAGCACCACGATGAGACAGACACTAATTTGCTGCACAAACTTGGGCACTACACAGCAGTGCTCTGCTAGAGAAGAATCTGCATAGTGTATTTAAATACCATTTGGACCAAAAGCATCTAATACGGAGAGTATTTTCTTTAACCCATTAAAAGGTTGAATGTTATAGAACTACTCCCTTCTATTCGTAAGGCCTTGCAAAGAATTCAGCAGAAGTAAATTTTGTTCCAACGGAGAAAAACAAACTCTAGGCTCTTTTCTCAAAATTAAAGATATCAAATTTGGTCAGGATGCAGGAGATAAGGCCTTCTCAGGGATTTTCCTGCCGATGAGCCTACAGTCTCTGAGACCCTTCTAGATAGCCACACTTCCCAGGGTTGCCATGCCACTCATTGCTACTGAACATCCCACTAACATGCCACTAAGTAAATAAGTAAATAAATTGTAATTATGAGAGGTGATGGATGTATTAACCTACTGTAATCATTTTCTAATATATACACATATAAAATCACCACCTTTTACACTTTAAACTTACACAATGTTATACGTCAATTGTGTCTCAATAAAGCTGGAAAAAACAATACATACATACATTTAAAAAGAAGATTTAAGTTCCTACTAAAACAAACACTGAATTTATTAATAATGAAGTTATAGCTGAAATGTAGTATCTCTAGTCTCTCAAGTAGTCACTTGTCCTAAGGCCCAAGCAACAGGTCATGTGCAGGAGCACAGAGAATAGGAAGGAAAACTGCTCTAATGGTCAGATCTTTGCACTTGGCATTGCCCTCAACTGAGGTCCCTTAAGGAACCAGATGGGTTCGTAATTCTCTGTATTATGTTGTATATAAATGAGGTATACTTAGAAAAGACATCATCCTCGTCCTTCCATCAGACACAGGAAGCAAATAAACACATTGATTCAAGAAAAAAGGACAAATGGCGTCACTGATAAAGGAAAAAGTAAAATGCTGTGAAGAATTTACAGAATGGGAGTGCTACCAATGGAGTAACCAGCAAGAAAGGCAGTGTGAAAACTGTGATTTAAAAGAAGTCTGACAGAGATACAGCAGTAGGGGGAGGGCAAAGGGAAGAAAGGACATTCCAGGAATTTCCCCAAATACTGATAAACAGGTCAGATTCCTTGGCACAGGAAATCACTTCATACCAAAATGGTTTCCAAGTTCCAGCTAATAACTGGATTGTAAACAATGTTGTCCAAAATAAGAAAGCTCTAGAACAATAAAATATTTTGGATACTCACCAATTCATAGCACCATTTCTAACATTCAAAGCCTTAAGATTTGCTCTCTTAATTATACCCTCCCACAAATTGCGAATATCTACATACTGATTCAGAAACAGTGCATGTGACATCCCAAGAAATACAAATATTTCAGAAACAAGAAAAACAAGACTATCAATTTTACAGCCCCAGGGCAAATTTTAGGCTAATTCTAAACATGTTTATGTATAAATGAGAAGAATCTTACACTGGCCATAAGTTCGATAAAGCCCCCAATTGTCCTGCCCTCAGTAAACAAATAGTCAGCAAACCTAAAAGAAGATCAAAGAACTTTTATGGCTCCAGGTATCAGCATTTTGGAAAGGCTTTCCTCACATCTGATTCATAACTTCTCCCAGTTAAGTAATATAGATTTTTTATTGGTAATGCAAAGTATAAAAAGCTGGTAATCAATGAGGAAAGTGAAAATACTTTAAACAAGTAATCCATGAGTCCTTTGACCCCACTGATTTACAAGTCGGAATTTTCACAAATGATTACATTTTATAGCTGTTCAAATGCTGGATAATGTAACCAAGGAAAATACATCAGTATACAACACTTGGTAGTAATAACTGTTATCAGATTACACTTGCCAAAATCCAAACCCTTTAAATACACCACAATGAGTTTAGATTAAAGCATTCCTTAATTCATGAGTAAGAAAACAACAAAACCAATGGTTAACACTAATACTGATAACAAGACTTTGAATCTTTGTAAAAGTCTAGCATTGGCAATCAATAGTGTTTATATATAGGTTGAACTAAAGAAATGACTGTTCAAATCATAATTTTTTAAGAAGATTTCCTTCATCCAGAAGTTACCATAACAAAAAAAAACCCCAAAAAAACAAAACACTGCCTCTCATATTTCTTCTAAGCGCTAGTTTTGCTTAATTTCAATATGTATATTAAGTATATAACCAAGTCAGCTGGTTTGGGTGCTATTTTGTTGCTTGTTTACCTGGGGATTTTTTGTTTGATCTTGATTGCACCAAGTGAGACTGTCGAGGCAGCAGAGGTGATGAAGGCAGAGACATGGATACACCTTTGGCCAAGCTCACCCTGTAGGTGTCGTCTGCTCCAGGAAGACTGCCCACGGAAAAGTCGCCACCATGGCACAGTGGCAGGGCTGGAGGGGAGGCCTCTGGACCAAAGTCACTTCCTGGAGTGAAGGAAAAAAACAACCTAGATTAGACCATCCATTAAGTGTAGATGCAAATTCAATCCCTAAGAACTATATTCTTAGAATATAATTCCCATATACTGTATTTGCATTGAATACATAATATATATATATACTATATATACAATTAATATATTTTTAATGATATTTTTTTCTCATACCACTCTTAAAATTTTTTACCCTGTGAGGGAAAAACCAAGTTTCACCACTCAAGCATCAATGAATTCTTCCTCATACCCCTTTCTAAGCACCATACCAGCTCATCTGGTTTCATTCACAACAAATCTATATATAAAGTATATAAAGCTACATATAAAGCTACAAATCTGAGATTAGATCAAATATATATAAATATATATATATATATATATATATAAAGCTACATATCTGAGTATGTATATAAAGCTATAAATATATATAAAGCTACATATCTGAGATTAGATCAAAATCAACTATAAATAATCCACAAGAAGCTTTGATTTGAGTAAGGGAGGAGGGTTCTTGGTCTTCCATAGGTATCAGTAGAACAGATTCAAACACCGAGATCCGTTCCACAACTTCCTTGGCTTCCCATCACTTTCCTCCCATTAGAATGTCCAAGGGAGGTTTTAGCCTACTTCAACATACCCCGCCTCCCCAGCTCTATACATCCCTTCTCTTATCTGATGCCCTCCACACACCCCAAGGCATAGGGTCCACCCTCCTACAACTCAACAAGCCAAATCGTACTCATGGCTCATTTACTAAGCAGGTTCTCCTTGGCATTCAGTCCCTAAATGAACTCAAGGACAAACAAGCTTATTACTTTGAAATGAAACATTCTCGANAGAAGGTCCAACATGGATAGTGAATCCTAAGGTGAACTATAGACTTTGGCTAATAATGATGTGTCAATGTAGGTTCATTGATTTAACAAATGCCCCACTCTGGTGGGGGATGGTGATAATGGGGGACACTATGCATGTGTAGGGAAAGGGAGAAGGTACAAAAAAAATCTCTGTACCTTCCACTCCATTTTGCTGTGCACCGAAAACTGCTCTAAAAAATAAAATCCACTTTTTAAAAAAGTGAACTCATTATCTGCCACATAGGACCTCTGACCATAAAGGAGGACTTCGTTGGTAATGGAGTTGACAAGAAAACCACACGCCTCCTTGGAAAAGTGTCCTCAATTGTATTTCTCAGAACGTTTGTGTAGGAGGTAGGGTTCCTTGCGGGACACTGTTAGCTAGCTCGTCTACATAAGCCCCCAGAGGCAAAGCTTACTGGTGTCTGTGCTCTGGGCCCTAATATCACAGGTTTTGCTGATGGTCCCAGTGTTCCTTTTGTAAGGCCCTGTACTTCTTACTAGCCTGTCTTCTAGAGATCACCATTCTGTGCGCATTTTAGTTTCCCCACTTCAGGCTTTGCACATCCCCTGCCCCTCTGCCTAGAACACAGCTAGCCATTCCTGCTGACACACAGACTTGTTTCACAACAAATCTGAGGATTCAAGCTGGAACATCCCTCTTTCCTTCTATTTCTACTTTACACTAACGTTCACGAATGTCAGATACAGATACAATAGCTTCCATGGGCTTCTGTGTTTCTCTGTGAATCAGAAATGATCAAAAAGAAGATTCCCACCACCACTGCCCCTGCCCCCATCAATTTTCTCGAGGTAAAAACACTCATTTCTGAGCGTGAGATTGGGTTTGTTCTAGCCGCCATCTGACACCACCACAGGGTGCAGCTGACACTGCTGTAAAGTGTGACTCGATAAAACCTCCAGTCATCATTAACCTCGGGTGGCGGGAAACACGCAGCCAAAATGCCAAAAGCCTAAGAAAACAGGAGAGTGACAGGAGCGTAGAAAAGCAGGGCTTAGACGGCTGCTCACAAGCCCAGTTTAAAACATACTCCCCTTTGATCACTGCTTGATGGGACAAAAGCCCTGGGAGAGAGGTAGGACCTTAATTAAAGTATCAGTTCTCTCTAGATAAGGGGAAAGTGTTCTTAGCTTTATAAATGTAAGTTATCGTTACACTCCAATTGCTATGTGTCCATTCACAGTTTCAACTGACCACATGGAGATGATGAACGCAGACTACTAAAATCCTATTCATTTTAACAGGTACATCCCTGTGCCCTCTCACAAGGGTAAACAGAAGAACATGATTAGATCCTGCATTCTAGGCTTCCAAAGGGAAACAAAGACAAGGTGCTCACAGAATGTCAGGGCAGGGAAATGCAACACGAGGCTGTCAAGAGGGGAGCGCTACTACAGGTGTTTGGAGCAAGAAGCTATTTCTCACATAGGGAAAAGAGAGACATAAAGGAAGACTGGATGAAGCAGAGATGCAAGCCACACCTGAGGCCCGCTCTGACAGAGAAAGTTCTGACATAGAGCTAGTGAAGAGAAAAAGGAAAGGAATAAGTGGAATGACAGAAATGGTTTAGGGCACCCCAATGACTTGGTCAATCGAAGACCAACGGGAAAAGAATTATCTTTTCAAAAATGCTGCTGGGACAAACTGGATAGTCACGTGTAAAAGAATGATGTTGGCCCCTCCCTCACACCATACACAAAATATTTGCTCACAAAAGGGATTATAGACCTAATGTAAGAGTTAAAACTACTACATAAAAGTCTTAGGGGAAAACAAAGGTGTAAGTCTTTGTTTTGGTTTAGGCAATGGTCTCTTAGATACGACATCAAAAGGACAGCAGCAAAATAATAAATTGGACTACATCAGAATCAAAATGTTTTGTGCTTGAAACAATAGTATCAAGAATATGAAAAAGGTATATTGCATAACTTGTATCTAGAATATGAAAAGAATTCTTACATCTTAATAATAAAAGTACAATAGGATACCAGTTCACATGCACTAGGATGGTTATAATAAAAAAGATGGACAATAATAAGTGTTAGCCTGGGTGTAGAGAAATTGGAAATCGCATATTTTTCTGGTGTGAATACAAAGTGGTGCGGTCACTCTGGAAAACAATTTGGCAGTACTCAAAAGGTTACACATAGAGTTACCGTACAATCCAGCAATTCCACAGGTAGGTACTACCCAAGAAAAAAATGAATATATACATCACACAAAAATGAGACATACACAAATGTTCATAACAGCATTGTTCGTAATAGCCCCNCCAACCATTTATGGCTCTTGCATCACGACAATGCTCCTGCTCACACGCACTGCCTGTGAGCGAGTTTTCAGCCAGTAAACAAATAACTGTATTGGAACACCCCCCCCCTACTCACCTGATCTGGCCCCCAATTACTTCTTTCTTTACTTGAAGATGAAGGAAATATTGAAAGGAAGACATTTTGATGACATTCAGGACATCAAGAATAATTCGACAACAGCTCTGATAGCCATTCTAGAAAAAGAGTTCCAAAATTGCTTTGAAGGGTAGACTAGGAGCTGGTATCAGTGCATAGCTCCCCAAGGGGAGTAGTTAGAAGGTGATCGTAGTGATATTCAGCAATGAGGTGTGTAGTGCTTTTGCTAGGATGAGTTGGCGAATTTAATTGTCAGGCTTCACATATTACATCTTTTCCTATACATATGAATCCTACATATGCTATGTTTTTTTCCTATACTACATATCTATGATACAGCTAATTTATAAATTAGACATAGTAAAAATTAACAATAATTAATAAAATAGAACTGTAACAATATAGTGTAATACAAGTTATGTGAATGTGCTTACTCACTTTTTCTCCAGTTATTTTTATATTTTTCAGGCCAAACCTATCCCTGAATCTGTGTAAACATCCCTTACTTGCAGTTAATATCTTGGTTTCACTCATTTCAGAGGATCCCTGGCTGAAGTCTTTGTATAGGCTCCATGCTTTCTGGTGCAACACGTTGCCATCAATAAGAACACATTTTCTGTTCATGTCTTCCACCCACAAATTTAATGCCTGTTCCATCTTCACTAAGCACTTATCACACTCTGTGGCAATACATTTTGCAGTTTGAGGAGTGACAGCAAAACTAGCATGAATTTCTTTTTTCCTTCTTCACAATTTCATGGATAGAAAATATGTTCTTACCATCGATCTGAGTAGCCCCATCATACGATTTTTTTTTCATTCCTTAAGTTGAGAACTTCCACCTTTTCACTTAAAGGAGGCATTTTACAGCTTCTCTTTGGCATATCTCAATTGCCAGCATCACTACTCTTCTGCTTTGGAGCCATTAAATAAAATAAGGATTACTGGAACATAAGCACTGTGATATCACAACAGTCAATCAGATAGACAGCTACTAAATGACTAATAGACGTGTAGCATATACAGTATGGATATGCTAGACAAAGGGATGATTCAGGTCGTGGCTGGGACAGCACAAAATTTCATCATGCTACTCAGAATAGTATGCAATTTAAAACTTATAAATTGTTTATTTCTGGAATTTTCCATTTAATATTTTCAAACCACAGTTGACCTTGGGTAACTAAAACCATGGAAANTGAGAACCGCTGCTCTAGCGTAAGCAGATTCAAAGAAAAAATACAGAGGATACAATTAGAGTGAAGAGAGTACACAAGGAAGGGAGTATGTAGGCCAGGATCAGCCTCTCTGAAAAAACATACATAACATATAGCCAATCCTCAAGTACTCAGATCCCAGGCTCTCCTCATCCTGTTCCTGTCTGACTGATCAGCTCCTCCCCCCTCACTAAGTCACAACTTAGGAAGTGCAAGCAGAGGAGGTAAATCATTATCCTGATGATTAAAAACATTTTCAAGCTCTAAATAATATACAGCAGAACTGGAAAGTTTTAGAAAGTTTCCCACAAGCAAACTCGTCTCTCTGACAAATGCTATCCAAGTGGTCCTGACCAGGCCTTCCTGACTGCGAAAAATCAGGGCCTGGATTGAAGTTGAAAACTCTTGAGCCAGGCAGGGACTCAGGTTTTGCAGATCTCTGTGCACCAGGCTCAAAGGGGATGCAACCCCAACCGTCCAGCTCC